AGTAAGCTTGTATAGGGTTTCCTAGGAGCAGCTGCTGAGTTTGAACCGGTGATCTTATGGTTCAAACCGACCTTGCAGTCCAGAGTATTAACCCACAGTGCCATATCAGGACTCCTGAGATTTAGGCTTCCTCTAATCTCCACGTCCTTCTGTCTGAGAGCTATGGTTTGACTCCCATGTTTCTCCAGTTTGAAGGGTGCCGGAAGTCATATTCACGACTTGAAAACCTGAAGACACACCTGCGGTCACATACGGGTGAGAAGCCATACATGTGTGAGCATGAGGGCTGCAGTAAAGCCTTCAGCAATGCCAGTGACCGAGCCAAGCACCAGAATCGGACCCACTCCAATGAGGTGAATGCCCCACTTAAAAGATCCTCCCCTACTTGAGAAGCACCTGCCAGAGAGATCCTCCCTTAAGAAATCCCCTAGCCCAGCATCCACTCCACACAGGTGAGCACTTCCTCCTTACGCAGTTCACTCCCAGAAGGCCTACCTGAAATGAAGGATTCCCTTCCTCTACCTCCATCCAGACCTACTCTACCTAGAGGAGACCTCTGGCCCCTTCAACCTCTGAGTTCATGAGGCCTCAAAGCCCTGGGTTCATCCCTCATCTTTCTCAGGCTTGGATTCAGTTTTCCTAATCTCTACCTTGATCCCGTCTTTTACTTTCACCCCATTGGCCCCAGCCTCATCACTTCCTTGGGAGTTGTGTGTCCCTCCCTTACAGGACTTGTCCTGCCCACTCAATGCCCTCACAGCCACCACTTTCTTTCACTGCCCCTCATTCTTCCACATTGACCCCTTGCCTTCTGTCTTTACTGTCTGATCAACAGAAGCCGTATGTTTGTAAGCTCCCTGGCTGCACCAAACGCTACACAGATCCCAGCTCTCTCCGGAAACATGTAAAGACAGTTCATGGTCCTGATGCTCATGTGACCAAGCGGCACCGAGGAGATGGCCCCCTGCCCCGGGCACCATCCCTTGCCACCGTGGAACCCAAAAGGGAGCGGGATGGAGGCAGGGAGGAGAGCAGACTGACCGTGCCAGAGGGTGCCATGGTGAGACAGCCCAGGCAACCCAACCTGCCCTATTGACATCATCCTAGCCTCTCCACCACATCTCCTCCATCATTTCCTCAGTAATTCTCTGTAGTCAGTTCTCTGGTCTCTGGTCTCTTGTCTCAGTGTTGCCTCTTAGACTACCCAACATCTATGGATATCAGTTTACTTACTTAATTGGTTCAACAAACTCTTACATAGCACTTAGTATAGGCAAAAAGTGTGCCACTATAGGGTAAGCCTTGGACTACTAACCGAAAAGTCTGTGGTTCAAACCCACCAGCTGCTCCTTGGAAACTCTATACAGCCACTATGAGTCAGAACCAACTCAATGGCAATTAACAATAGGCAAAAGGAACCCTGTAGGTACAATGGGTTAAGTGATGGCCTGCTAACCCAAAGAATGGTAGTTCAAACCTACCAGCCACTTCATGGGAGAAAGATGAGGCTATCTGCTTCCATAGCAATTTAAATCCCTGGAAACCCTAGGAAACAGTTCTACTCTGTCTTATAGGGGTTGCTGAGTCGAAATCAACTTGCTAGTCAAGAGTTTAGTTTGGTTTGGATAGGCAAAAGATTGTTGGTTTGAACCCACCAGCCACTCAGTGAAAGGTAAGACCTAACAGCCTGCTTCTATAAAGATGACAGCCTTGGAAAGCCTGTAGGACAGTTCTCTTTTGTCCTAGAGTGTCCCTATGAGTCAGAATTGACTCAACAGCACACAGTAACAGAGGTGGTATTACTCTAAGCACTTTACATGTACTATTTCAGGTACTCCTCACAAATCTTTGAGAAAGCAACTAATATTCTCCCATTTTCAGATGAAACTGAGGAATATAGAACTTGCCAAAGTCATAAAACTAAGCAGGAGTGTGAGCCCAGACAGTCTGCTCCAGTCTAGGCTCGTCTCATAAAACATCTTTTTACTGTGATCCCATGCTCCTACTTGTTCAGCTCTCCTCAGCTGAAAGCATCCCTTCAGCCCCAGTTGTCACCAGGACACAGGCTTCAGCCTTTCACCAAGTTCAGGGAGCCTGAGGAGAGTGGATGGGTGCTGCCCTGAGCTCTGGTTTCCCCCACAGAAGCCACAGCCAAGCCCCGGGGCCCAGTCTTCCTGTAGCAGTGACCATTCTCCAGCGGGGAGTGCAGCCAATACAGACAGCGGTGTGGAAATGACTGGCAATGCTGGGGGCAGCACCGAGGACCTGTCCAGCTTGGATGAGGGACCTTGCATTGCCGGCACTGGTCTGTCCACCCTTCGGCGACTTGAAAACCTCAGGCTGGACCAGCTGCATCAGCTCCGGCCAATAGGGCCCCGGGGCCTCAAACTGCCCAGCTTGACCCACACCGGTGAGACCTGGGCGTGGGGGGTGGTTGCTGGTTGAGACTCAGCCTGCTCTGAGGTTGGGAGGGGCAGGTCACCCCTCAGTGCTGCCAGATGGTATCTAAGTGCAAGTAGAAAAAAGTCCCCTTTCCTTTAGAACACCTTTCCATCTGTCTGGATATTACTGTTATATATAAATAATACAAAACCTATGATGTGACTGTTGCCCCTACCCTCTAACTGCGCATTATACAACCTGTGTACGGTTGTCCATAGCGGCCCTGAGTCAGGCATGGGAAAAGTGGGAAACACAGCTGAGAGGTTCTGTGAAGCCTGTCCCTGGGTCTCCAGGACAAGGCTGCCCCATGGGTGGGCATGATAAGATTTGGGAGCTCCCTGAACACCCCACCTTTTCTCCCTTTGATTTGCAGGTCCCTCCGTGTCTCGCCGTTTGGGCCCTCCGGTCTCTCTTGACCGCCGAAGCAGCAGTTCCAGCAGCATGAGCTCAGCCTATACTGTCAGCCGCCGCTCTTCCCTGGCATCTCCTTTTCCCCCTGGCTCTCCACCAGAGAACGGGCCATCCTCTCTGCCTGGTCTCACACCTGCCCAGCAGTACCTGCTCCGGGCGAGGTATGCTTCAGCCAGGGGGGGCAGCACCCCATCCACTGCAGCACCCAACCTGGATCGGCTAGGGAGTCTTCCAGGACCTCCGTGGAGAAGCCGAGTGGAGTATCCAGGATACAACCCCAATGCAGGGGTCACCCGGAGGGCCAGTGACCCAGCCCGGGCTGCAGATCGCCCTGCTCCAGCCAGAGTCCAGCGGTTCAAGAGCCTGGGCTGTGTCCACACAGCCCCCACTGTGGCAGGGGCAGGACGGAACTTCGATCCCCACCTCCCAACCTCTATCTATCCACCACAGCCCACCAGCATCACTGAGAATGTTACCATGGATACCAGAGGGCTACGAGAAGAACCAGAAGTTGGAACGTCTATGATAGGCAGTGGTCTTAACCCTTATATGGGCTATCCACCTGCCGACACTCTGGGATATGGGGGACCAGAGGGCTCAGCAGTTGAACCTTATGGAACAAGGGGTCCAGGCTCCCTGACATTTGGGCCTGGTCCACCTACTAACTACAGCCCTAATCCCTGCCCCCATCAGGCCTATCCAGACCCTACCCCAGAAACATGGGGTGAATTCCCCTCCCATGCTGGACTATACCCAAGCTCCAAGGCTTCAGGTGGGGCCTACAGACAGTGTCCTCGACTTGAACATTATGGACAAGTGCAGGTCAAGCCAGAACAGGGGTGCCCAGTGGGCTCTGACTCTACCAGCCTGGCACCCTGCCTCAGTGCCCACCCCAGTGAGGAGCCCACACCACACCCACAGCCCCCGTTCTCCCATTATCCCCAGCCTACCCCTCCCCAGTATCCACAAGCAGTCCCCTGTATCCAGCCACCCCCTGATTATCCACCTTCAGAACCCAGGCCTGGCCCGGCCTTTGACGCCTCTCCTCACTGCACAGGACAACTCAAGGCTCAGCTTGTGTGTAATTATGTTCAGTCTCAACAGGAGCTGCTGTGGGACAGTGGGAGCAGGGCAGAACCCCCAGTCCAGGAACCTCCCTACCACAACCCCAAGTTTCCAGTGGGTTCTCAGGTTAGCCCAAGCCCTGCCAAGGCCTCCATGGCTACATACGGACCTGGCTTTGCACCCAATTTGTCCCATCACAAGGCAGGCTCCTATCCCACCCCTTTACAATGCCATGAAAATTTTGTGGTGGGGGTAAGCAAGACTCCTCATAGGGCAGCTGCACCACCCCGACTTCTGCCTCCATTGCCCACTTGCTATGGACCCCTCAAGGCAGGGGGCACCAACCCTAGCTGTGGCCATCCTGAGGTGGGCAGGCTAGGAGTGGGTCCTGCCTTATATCCTCCTCCAGAGGGGCAGGTATGCAACCCTCTGGACTCTCTTGACCTTGACAACACTCAGCTGGACTTTGTGGCTATTCTGGATGAGGCCCAAGGGCTGAGTCCTCCTCCTTCCCATGATCAGGGGGGCAGCTCTGAACATACGCCACCATCCTCTGGTCCTCCCAACATGGCCGTAGGCAACATGAGTGTTTTACTGGGATCTCTGCCTGGGGAAACTCAATTTCTCAACACTAGTGCCTAAAGAGTGGGGAGCCCCACCTCTCAGATCCTTATTCCTAAGTGGTTTCCATCTCCTCAGAGAAGTGAGGAAGCTTGTGCCATCTTTACAGTCCCCATCATAAGTAGCCCCAAGGATGTGAGGGGTGGATGGGGCTGTATATATATATAGTCTGTATATATTTTGGGGAGAAATTTGACAATGACACTATTTCCTGATAATAAACTACATCAGAAGGAGTCCTGCTTGAAGTGTTATCTTGGGGAAAGGTCATGGAGGAACAAGAGAAGAAAGTGTTCTCTTTAGAGAAGTGTCTCCACCTCATCTCAGTCCCTCAGGTCAGATTCACAAAGACAGTCATTTAGGAGATTTAAAGGGATGCCCTCAAAACAGGACGGGCTCTTCAAAGGGCACCCAAGAGAGATCATTGGAAATACTGTTTGTCTTCCGCTTTGGGCCTCAAGTCAAGGGAAGAGGCTGGTGAACTCGGTGAGCATCAACTGGACTAGCTGCCCAGGGTAGAGGGCATGGGCCGCTGGGTCAGATGTCTCCTGCTCTGGTCGAAACAGGGTAGGTCCAAACACAATTCCCAGGTTGTGGGGAGTCATTCGATTCTTATCTGAGTGTGTTATCACCCTGCGGCAAAGGCCAAAGGAAAGGGATATAAATGAACAGCTTTATTACATCAAATAAAGTGTGCTCAGCTGCTAACACAAAGGCTGGAGATTCATGTTTACCCAGAGGTGCCTTGGAAGAAAGACCTGGCAATCTACTTCCAAAAAAATGAGTCACTGAAAACTCTGAAGCATAGTTCTACTCTGACACACATGAGCTCACCACAACAGTTAAAGATTAAAGTGGAGAGGGTTCCTTTTGAGATCCCTCCATGTGGTTGGTGGCTGAAAGAAATAGAGGAAGACAGCCTTAAGGGGCACAGAATGAGATCAGTGGAAAAAACTTCGATAATTAAGATACAAAAGTCTACAGCTTCAAGGTCTGCCCCTAGAGTCCTCTCAAGTAAATAGATATTCTTTCTGAGAAGTCACTGTCCTGGCCCAGATCAGCCAAACAAGCTATCACCAGTGCTCCAAGGTAAGACAAAGCAAAGAGGGAAGGGAGAGACAATATTTCCATTATTTCTCTCAGTATCCCTGGGCTTGTCTTGGTCCTGATTTCCCCATTTGATTCTGACCTATCAAAAAGGTTTGATTCTGGTAATGTGTCTTAATGTAAGAGGTTACCTGTTACCTTGATGTGCCCACTATACTAATATGTTTCTCTATTGCTGTGGATTGAATTGTGTCCCCCCAAAATATGTGTTGAAATCCTAATCCCTATGTCTGGGAATAGGGTTTTATTTGTTATGCTAATGAAGTATATATCAGTATAGGGCATGTCTTAAACCAAATCTACTTTTGAAATATAAAGAGCAGACTAGGCAGAAACACAAACCAAAATCCCTACTGCCATAAAGTGGATTCTAACTCATAGTGACCCTATGTAGGGTTTCAGAGGCTGTGAATCTTTACTGGAACAGAAAGCCTCATCTTTCTCCCTTGGAAATGCAGCTGGTGGGTTTGAACTGCTGACTTTGTGGCTAGCAGTGTTAGCAGTGCAGTGCTTATCCTAACCCTCTATCTGTGTATATAATTCACAGAAACAAGCAAGCACAAATGGGGGAAAAATCGCCACGTGGCGATTGCAAGGAACCAAACATGAGGGCTAGAGAAAATGAGATAAGGATTTCCTACCAGAGGTGATTTAGAGAGCCTTCCCCTGAATTCAGATTTCAACATTCTTTCTGGCTATTGTTAGTTGTCACTGAGTTATTTCAACACATATTGACCCTGCAGAACAGAGTAGAACTGCCCCCATAAAGGTTCCAAGGCTGCAATCTTTATGGGAGCAGATTGCAAGCTCTTTTCTCCCTTGGAGCTGCTGGTAGGTTTGAACCACAGGCCTTATGGTTAGCAGCCGAGTGTTTTAACCATTGCACCACCAGAGATCCTTTTTAGTCTCTTAAACTGAGAGAATAAATTTCTGTTCATTAAAGATACCCTCTTGTATTCTTTCTGCTTTGGTGGTGTTGTCATTAAGTGCCATCAAGCCAATTCTGACTCACAGTGACCCTGTATAGGGGGTTTCCAAGGAGTGGCTTGTGGGTTTGAACCACCAACCTTGTGGTTAGCAGTCGAGTGCTGATCCTGCAGCGCCACACCAGGAGTCTAAAACCAATCTTCACCCCACCTGAACATGTTCCAATCCTGCCTCCCCCAGCACAAAGAGGTTTAGTCTTCCTGACCTGCATAAGTGCTCCAGGAGGTGCCGCAGAGTGTCATGGTTGGGCTTTGGCATTGAGCCTATTAATTCTTGTATTTGGGAGAGGCGCTGCTCTGATTCCAAGAGGGCTAGAGAGAAAGTGATGGAAAAGGCATAGGAGTGAGGTTAAAAAAGGTGTTAGGACTGGATGGTAAAGTCACCATTCTTTTCCATGCCCGTGGAAGACAACATTAATTAATTACAGTTTTCTTTTCCATTCTTCCCAAATACTGCTTCAGAATTCTTTTCCACTCAGTACTCTAAACATTTACAAAAAAAGCAACTAGAGTTGCCACATCAGTGGAAAATATTTTCCATTTCTGTAGTCAGGATGGAACCAAAGGGTGTGAGGTTACTTCTAACCCATTCTTCACTACTCACTCCACTGAGATCCTCCCAAATCAAGGTGTTGCCCAAAGCTCCCTTACCAAGGGCAGCACGGAAATGAGGCAGCAGCAGTGGGGGCACCAGCGGCTGAGGCAGCTCCCTGAGAAAAAGTTTCAGGGCTCCAGTGACCACATGAATGTCATCCCACTCGGCACTGTCCAAGTCTAATCGCCCTTCTGGAGATAGAGAGAAGAAGTGCATGGGGAGTGAAGGGGCTCATGAAAGGCAAAAGGGATCCGGGGGCCAGAAAGATCAGGAGTCAGGGAAAGAGCTTGTCAAGGCAGACCACAGGAATGCCAAGAGGGTCCATAGTGAAGCAAAAGAGCAGAGGTGGGGATGGGGACGACCCTCCCAGGAACAGGACATGGGGGAATCCATGGAGAGCAGAGAGGATGTGGGAAGTGTCAAGGGTGTCAGAGGCTTTTCAATTAAGTACCTTGTCCTGGCTGTTCCGGGAATAAGTATCTCCCATCAGAGGTGACCGCGCGCTCTGTAACATGTATGAGAAAAGATCAAGCGCTAGGGTATGCAGTCCTTGCCAGAAGACGCCCTGTTCCAACAGCTTCCTTCTCACCTCGGTCTACTAAGAAGCGAAGTTTCTGGACCACTGCCAAATTCCCGCTCACTCGGTAAATGCCATCCACATCTAGACCTAAGAGATGAAGCAGGAAGCACTTAAAGCTTCCTTTCCTGGTCTAAGAGAGAAAGGGCAATAGGAAGATGGGTGGGGAAAAGGGGCCAGTTCTTAGAAGGGGAGGTTCAGGAGTTTCTGGGGGAAACAACCTCTCTTGTCAACAGCAGCAATGCAGAGCCGCACAAAACTGGGCACGGTGTCCCCTTCTCGCTGGCATAGTGATTCCAATTGGCAGCCGAACACCTGGTCTGGAGAGGCACAGAATGAGGTGGGAAGCCAATTCCCACTTCAGCCACGGACGTTCTTCTCATCCTTCACTCCCAAGTGGGGCTGTCTGTGCCAGGCCTGGTGGAGGAGCTTCACCTCTCTTGTTCCCCACACCACTCAACATCTTAAGTACTGGGGAAAGGAGCGGTCTCAGAAGCCCAGCGTTCTAGTTTTAGGAAGCTCTATTCTAGCCTCACTGGAGTTTTCACATCCATGAAATGGGCTTGCAAAAACACTAAAGCAGGCCCGTGGGAGCAGGGCACCGGCTGGCCCAGCCCCACCTCACCTCGGAGCAGACCCCGCTCCTGCAGGCTTTGCAAGGGCGGTCTCTTCGCAATAAGCCGCTTTAGTTTGCTCCGCACGCGGTTCTGCTCAGTTCCTTCCGGACACCGACCTGTAGGAGGCAGGTAGAGGCAGAGCGTGAAAACAGCCGCCTAGCGGAGCAGACGCTGGACGCGCTCACAAGCCCCACCTCCTCGGCCCGCCCTTACTGGAGCTCCGGCGGCTGCTGAATCGCAGCAGCGGCTTCAGAAAGGGTTCGGGCTCCTCTTCTTCCTCATCCTCCCCGGCACTCAGTTCTCCCAATTCCGCCGGCCCCGAGCCGGATAAACGTAGCTCCAAGGGGTTCTCCCGATCCTAGACCCAAACGGGCGGAGTGAGCCAGGTCAGAGGAAGGGAAAGTCACAAAAACCTGCACCCCTAGCTCGAAGGAAGGACACCCTAAGCAAGGTCCCACCTCAGCCCCAACCTAAGACTCTAACCGGATCCCAGGCGGTCGCCACCCCATCTCTCCGAATTCTGTGCTCCTTATCAGCCTCCCTATGCTCCGCCCCAACCCCTCCCCCTGCCTCTGACCAGTCGTTCGATGACCCCCCGCAGCGCGCGGTGCCAGGCTCGCAACTCGGTCTCTTGGTCCGACTGCAGCAAGAACTCGTGTCCAGGGACCGTTCGAATCTGAGGGACCGACGGGGAAAGACTTGGGTCAAGCAGGAAGGAGCATTTTAAAAAAGCAAGGCGGTGGAAAGGGAGATCCGTGCAGACAACTGGTGGGGCGGGGGGGAGAGGGGGCGCCTTCGAGTCAGGTGGGTTTTGCGTGTGCGTCTGGGGACACTCACGTGTAGGACATTGCGACGGCTGGACAGATGGCGGCCGTGGGCCAGGGCAGCCCCACGAAGGTCCACGCTGCTTTCGGGTCGGCTGCCCGCTGGCCCCTGACAATTAGAGAAGAAACTGAAGCCTCGCCTTTCTCTCATCACCCTGCCCCCTCACTAGGTGGGCTACGAGGAGATGGGAGGCTATGATCTTTCATAACTCCTTTCCGTCTTTCTACCACTCCTTACCCCCACTGTTGGCCTGAGGCAGGAAGAGACTGCTCAAACCCCAATTGTCTTCCCCCCTCCGCTGTCCTCTCTCACACTCACCCAGCCGGAGGAGGGCGCAGTCAGTGGTGGCTCTCGATAGAACACAAGACTGTTACCAGCTAACACCACCCAAGAGGGGCCCCAGTTCTTCCTGGGGAGCAATGGTGGTAGTGAAAAGGTCATTCCAGAATGCCATAGAGAGGACACTCTTCCAGTACCCTTTCTATCCTTAGCAACCCAACCGGGTTCTTCTCACCTGAGTTTACGCCCACCCTGGGCAATCTTGGTCATGTTGAGTAGGCCTGATTTTTCCACCTCCTGAGGAGTGAAAGGGATATCAAAGTGTCATCTACACCCACCACCTTACACCAACCACAGTAGCCAAGTAGGTTTTCCAGAGGGTCTGCCAGAGTGAACTCCTTTAAAGTTAGAGTTCTGGGTAAGAGAGGATACTTAGTGAGCACTTGGAAGAAGAAAGATGGTTATGGAGGATTTAGGCATTCACAAAGAAACGGGAGACTCACGTGGGGGTCGTCCAGGAGCTGGGGTAGAGATCGAGGGGACTGCAAGGCTGGAGACTGGTCTGAGGTGTGGGAGGTTTCCTGGCAGAGGTAGGGTGAGCCCTGGGGGAGAGGATTGGAGAAATAAAAGGAGGAACCTTCAAATTCAGAGCCCCTGGCTGTAGGGAAAAGAAGGGTGTGAATGTGGATGAGAGGCAGGGGATATGATGAGTAATGAAGAAAAATGTCTTGCATAAAAGAGAATGTTGGTATCAAATGTTGGCTTTTCTTGTATGTGATCAGGTGATCAGGAGGTGGGAGGGATCTCACCTGGGGGTCTGGCAGTTCTGGATTCCTTGTGTGAGATTCAGAGCCCTTTGCCTGAAGTTGCAAGACATCCTTGTCCCTACTCAGGGTTTTTGTCGCCTCCATGGAACCAGCGTTCTGGGGTTGGAAGGGGAGAAGGTGAAGCTATATATCCAGATGCCACCTCGACCCCGACTCAACGCCCTTCTCATGACTTTCTGATTCTTCTGACCTTCTGAGAATCCCAGAGAGAAAACATACTACCTTGGGGCTCAGTATGGGGAAGGAGGAGGCAGAGAGGACAGTTGGACAAGCAGGAGGAACTGTTCTCACCGTCTCTCTGGAGCGAGTGAGGCGAGGGGGCTTCCAAGACTTGCAGCCAGTCAGCGAATTTATGTAGAAACAGCGTCCAGAAATGGGGTCCAGGTGCTGTTCCCAGGTGTCCAGCCTCTGCAGGGGGGCGCATGCAGGGCCTGGGGGTGGGGACCGGGGACAGCGGCGAAGTTCCACCAGGTTACAGTACACAGGGGTCTCTGACATGAGGAGCTGGGGTCCTGCCTGCCAAGAAAGGGGAAGAAAGAGGTGTTTATCTTGCCTGTGCTCCTCCCCAATCGCTTTTCCACCTAATCACCTCCTCCCCCTCACTCCCCAACCATCTTCTCACCACCGGCTCCTGGCTGGGGTGACCCAGGTACTAGAGTCCCCAGCCGACTTTTTAAAAATATTTTGATTCCCTCCCTCACAGTCTTCTTTGCTTTTCTCCTCACTTCCTGTTTCCAACTTCCCTCCTCCCCTACCCCGCCCCCACCCAGGGCCACAGGAAAGGGGAACAGGCTTTTTATGTGTGTATGTGTGTGGGGGTGTTTTAGGGGAGTGCCCCACCCTCATATCCTGCAGGGTGAAAGGAGACTGGAGAGGTCAGAGACCCCAGCTAGGGGAGCATGAGGGAGGAGGAGCCATTTTGCATCCACTAGTAAGAGAGAGGGAGGGGAGAATCTTAGGGACAAGCAGAGAGTCTTCAATGGGACAAGCTGGTGACTGGAGCTGGGAAGAGTGGACACAGGAAAAACCCTTTAATGGGCCAGGAGTCAGGAGAAAGAGAGAAAGAAAACATAGCCAGGTTGGCCTTCTTTCAGTCTATCATCTAAAGCTCCATGTCCTCTCAGGGCCTTTGCTGTCCCCTCCTTCTAGGTGGTCTTATGGCTGCCTCTTCCTTCTTATTCAGATTCAACTGAATGTCACTGCTTTAGAGATGCCTTCAGAGACCACCTCAGTCACTCTCCACTGCATTCACTCTTAATTGGTAGCACTTATGAGTTCTAAGGGTAAGCTTGCTTGTTTACATGTTTGTCTATCACTGGAAATCTCTAAAGGGCAGGAATTCTGTCTGTATTGTTCACCATTATGCCTAAAAGAGGGCCCAACAGTAAATATCTGTTGACCAACCATCATCAGAAGAAAAGCTGTGACTCACCATATTAGCAATGGCGTCTGTCAGCAAGTCTCCCTGGGAGAGGGACCTTCCACTTGGTCCATCCTGGAGGGGATTCAGGAGGCTTTGCCTCAAATTGGCAACACTGACACTTCTACAGATTTTAGGGGGAAGAGGAGGAGGCTCCTCAGACATGGCCTGGACTCTGCCTGTAGGTATCTGAGACTGGTGCAGCTCCTCCAGGGAGCCATGAAACAACTTTGACCCTGGGAACAGAAATGGGGAAAGAAGCAGGTGATCAGAGGCATGAGCTTGGTTGGGACCCCATCTTAGGGGCCCATTGGGAAGAACAGAATGAGGGTGTGGGAAATGACATGAGACTTGGAGGCTTGAATCAGAAGGCAGTGGAGGCACCAGGACAGGATGAGAGCTAGACTGATCAGAGGGAGATAAGACAAGGGGGTCAGCAGAAGCTTGGGGTAGGGAATACGCTCAAGGATTCCCAGAAGCAAGGGAGGTAGGAAGGTTATGGGGGAGGGTGTACTCACCAGGAGCCCAGTGGGATTGGCCGGGGGTGATGGTAGTTAAGTTCTGAGAAGATTCCTCTCTCACATAGGCAGCTGGGACAAAGATGGGTCGAGAGTTGGAGGGTGCTCCCAGGCGCCTTGCCAGCCACCAGTCTGAGTTGGTCTTTCGAAGCAGGAGGAATCTGTCCCCTGCAGCCAGAGACACTTGCCGGCCATCTGCCCCAGTATAAGTGAAGGCATAGAGGACACAAAGCTGGGATCCCCGAGAAGAATTTCGGGGTCCTAACCCTAGACTTCCCCAAGGACTTGACCACCACCGGCCTGACAGCATTGTGGTCAGCACTGTCACCTGTGAGAAAAAGGGGCATTAGAGATCCAGAAATGGACAGCACTGGCTGCCTCCGGGCAGAGGGACATGGTTTTAAGAGCAGTATCAGAGGAGGATAGGAATTATGGGGTGAAAGAAGAGGGTAAAGCAGAGAGTTGGACTACGGGGTCAGTGATACGCTTTGGGGGTGAGAACTTGGTGGTGTGTCTTGTGAGGAAGTATCTGAATAAGGTGAGAGAGGATGTGGTCAGCAGCACTATGTGGCTGGCCAGGCAGGAAATCACAGGAGATGGCCTAGCTTGGTGATTTTCTTTTATGTACCTTGTGGAGCCCATTAGAAGATCCAGGGGGTGGGAGAGCTGGTCCTGGGTGGTGACAGAAATCTTGAACTGGACAAAATAAGTTGATGAGGAGAAAGAATCAGGTCCGGGACAGAACACAGGAAAAGAGACAGGGAGTAATGACAAAGATAAAAAGTTTGTGACCTTGCCTTACATTTTCATAGGCACCAATGTTTCCGTTACCGGTCAGACCTAAAGTCGTGTGTTTCCTGTGCAGAAAGAAACAGAAAAATAGTAAGAACAAATTAGAGAGAAATAGAAAGTAGAAACATGGAGGAGGTCTGAGTTAGAGGCATAGGTGTGTTTTGTTTTGTTTTGAAAACTTTTTATTGGGAATTAAGTGAAGGTTTACAGAGAAGATCATCAGCTTTACATTCAACAAAGCATATAATGCTTCATTTCATTTCTGTGATAGCAATTCCATCCATGTAACATCAATTATCTTTCACTTCCTCCCTGTGATTCTTATTTCCATTCCACCTTCTTTCCCAACCCTTCTGGATTTTTACCTGAGGTAAATGCTGCTCTTTTGGTCTTAAATAGTTGACCATTCCATGATGTGCATACCTTACTAGTGTTGATGTCCCCCTTATATACCTGTCTACTGCTTGATTGAAAATTGGGTCATGAGTGCGAGTTCAGTTTCAGACCTGAAGGATGACCAAGGCCCATAGTCTTGGGTTCCTCCAGTATCCATCTGACCAGTAAGCCAGGTCTTTTTTACAATTTTGAGTTTTGTTCCACATTTAATTCCACTTTATCCAGGACCTTCTAATGTGATCTCTCTCAGAACAGTTGGTAGTAGTATCTGGCACTATCTAGTTCTCTAGTCTCAGGGTCCATTGGGCTACGGGATTAATTGATTCCAAGTTTCTTCAATTTCCTTAACTCTTCTTTCCTCCTCATGGAGAGTGACCAATAGTTGCACCTTAAATGGTGTCTTAGTTAACTAGTGCTGCTCTAACAGAAATACAACAAATGGATGGTTTTAACAAACAGAAACTTATTCTCTCACAGTTTAGAAAGCTAGATGTCTGAATTCAGAGTGCTGGCTCTGGGAAAGGGTCCTTCTCTCCTTTCAATATCTCTATTCCCAGTATTCACTGGAGATTTCCATGTGTCTTGGCATCAATCATTCCCAGGATCTAGGAGCTTCACAGTGCCAGGGACCCCAGTACAAAGGATGCACTCCATTCCTGGCTCTTCTTTCTCTGTTCACATCTCTCCCCTTTTATCTCTCTTAAGATAAAAGGCACTGCATGCCACACCCTTGAGAATCTCTGTACATCATTTGATCAGGGTCGTGGAGTGATTAAGGGTGATGTATCTCATGCTTGGTGTGGCGCTGTAGGATAAGCACTGGACTGCTAACCTCAAGGTTGGTGTTCCAAACCCACCAGCTGCTCCTTGGAAACCCTGTACAGGGTTATTATGAGTTGGAACGGACTTGATGGCACTTAACAACACCAACATTCCCAACCTTAATCCTCGTATTGATTTATCACATCAGAACATACTGGGGACAGAGGGTCATCACATAACTGCCAAACCATTGAGAACCACGGTCTAACCATAAAAGCAGGATGTACAACATTGTCTTTGTGGATTATGCTATGCCAAATGGCCATGATAGGGCTGTGTGTTTTGAAGCTGAGAAGCATTACTACAATTGACCTTCTACATATAACCTTCTTACCTGGGGACCTAATTGTGTAGTGGTTCATTTATTCATTTATATTCTTAACAGGAATTTATTGAGCATTGCCTGTGTGCAAAGACCAACATTAGGGACTAGGGATAAGAGAGGTGGAACAACACAGATGCAATCCTTGCCTTTTTGGAACTTAATGAGAGACAGACCTTAACCAATGAAACAATAAATTGTTGAATTGTAATTGGATCCGAGACTCTGGAAAAGTAATACAGCATGATGCTATGAGAGCATACATGGAGTCCTGGTGTGGTGCTGTAGGCACTGGATACCAAATCTGTTTGAACTGCAAGGTTGGCAGTTCAAACTCACAAGTCACTCATCGGAAACCCTATATATAGGGTCGCTATGAGTCAGAACTAACTCAACTGCACTTGGCAACAACAACATGAGAACAGATGGGGACAGTTGAGGGCCTGATGTCAGTTCCTTGCTGGCAGGAACTGCCTCTACTAAGAGGCACATTTGTGCTTCCACTTTACCCACTTATTTCCCCTTCCTCTCAGTTTCTCTGATGCACAGTGTGAGGATTTATCTAGGCTTGGAAAGTGAGGATGGGTGTGCTCGCCTCATTTGATGACATTAGAGAGTCAGAGAGCCTCCCCTGACCTTAGGGCTGGGTTGTCAAAAGTGGGTTTCTGCCTCAATTACCTTCCTTCTTAGTTTGCTACACTTTTAATACATGGCAAACCCTACTCCTGCTTCGAAAGACCAACTCAGACTGGTGACTAGCAAGGCACCTGGGAGCACCCTCCAACTCTCGACCCATCTTTGTCCCAGCTGCCTATGTGAGAGAGGAATCTTCTCAGAGCTTAACTACCATCACCCCCAGCCAGATAGCAACCTCATCACTTATGAGCTTCACTCTCTTTCTTCACTCTTTCAAAATAGTGACTGACTTCTTTTATTCACAGACTTATTCATTCATTCATTCATCTAGTGTTTAAGTGCTAGAATCTCATCCTCTGCTTTCTCTGAAGTTCTTGGCACTTGCATTTATTTGCTTTCTTTACTGACTTCTTTCCATTAGTATTGAAAATTATGAAATACACCCAAACCTCTCCCATCTTTACACAAACCTCAATTTACTCCCAGTTAACCATTCTCTCTCTGCCTTTTGGAATTCTCATACTTCCTTGAAAGAGTTTCCTACACACACGGCCTCCAAATTCCCTCTCTCACTCTTCCCCCTTTTAACGTTCACTGCTCACTACTCTTGACCTTGCACATATACTTTGCAGTCCTTATGCACTTGGACATCTCAGCAGTAGCCAACACAACTGTCTTCTCTCTCTCCCTTTCACAAACAGGAGGCGTCCCTGCAGGGTCCCTTTTAAAACCTCTCTGTTGTGTTGTTGTTAAGTGCCATGGAGTTTTTTCTGTCTCATAGTGACCCTGCAGCAACCCTGTATAGCATTTCCAAAGAGAAGCTGGTGAATTTGAATCGCTGACATTGTGATTTAAACCAACCTTGTTGCCCAGTGCATTAGCCTACAGTGCCACACCAGGACTAGTAGCTCCTTTTCTGTTGCCTAAGGAAGGACCTTCCTCTGCCTGTTTCTTTAGCTTTTAGGGTCTGTCTGAGATGTTCTGCCCTTTGTACTCTACAAAAAAATGAGACCTTGGGTGGTCTCATTTCCTCCTCCGCTCAAATGACCTCCATGTGCTGCTGAGCCCCCTATCTCTAGTCCAGATCTTTTTTGAAGCTCCAGTCTAATTCACTGTCCACTGAAAATCTCCATTTGGGTATCTCACAGGTACCTCAAACTCAATATATTCTAAATTGAGCTGTTTCTCTAAACTAAACAAACCTGTTTCTCTTCCAGTACCACTATTTAGTTCAATTTAAATTCAATAAGTATTGATTGAGTGCTTACTAGCATACTGTCAGCCAGGAACCATTAGGCATTGCCAATTAAGATGACAAATCTGGTCCCTCCCTTCTTTAAGGATCAAAATACAATGTGATAATCACTATGACTGGGGAAGTGCTATTATCTGTTGGATTACAAAAAGGGGAGAAATCCTTCTGCCCATGCCAGAAACCTGGCAGCCTCCTTCCTCACCATCCATATTCAATGGATTACTTTTGGATTCATAGCCATCCTGCCTTGTTGTTGTTGTTAAGTGCCTGTGAGTTGGTTCCAGTTTATAGCCATCTTATATAGGTTTTCTGCTGTGGTGCTGTGGGTTCATGCGCTGGACTGCAAAGTTGGTTTGAACTTCAAGGTTGGTGGTTCAAACTCACCAGCTGCTACTCACAAACCCTATGCAGGGTTGCTATGGGTCGGAACTGACTCGAGGGCACTTAACAACAACAAAATAGTTTTGAGGAGCAGCTGCTGGGTTTGAATCACTGAATTTGCAGTTAGAAGCCCAGTATAAAACTGCTCCATAGGGCTTCGGAGACTGTAAATCTTTATGGGAGCTGAGAGCCATGCCTTTCTCCCAAGGTGGTATTGGTAGGTTTGAATCATTAACTTAGTGGTTAACAGTTCTATGCTTAATCCACAGCACCACAATAAAATAAAAGGGCTCCTTTTATTGATTCCTTAGTCCTTCAATTTATGTCTTTTCAATTTATCTACTTTTTGTCTCACAACACCACCCTCTTTAGCCTAGATCATATAATCTCCTAACTAGTCTCCTTGTATATAATTCGGCTCCCCTGTAGTCCATTCCTGGCGCCAGAATGACCTTTCTAAACACAGATAAGTTCCTGTCTCTGTAGTGACTTAAAACTTTCAGAGGCTTCTTATTGTCCTCAGGGTAAAGTTCAAATTTTACACTGTGATTTACGGAGGCCTCCCTCTCTAGTCTAACCTTTTCACACTTAAAAACTCTACACTCCAGCACACTAACTCCTCACATTCCTAAAGTACACTGGGATCTCTGATCCTTGTCATATCTTGTTTTCCACTGCCTAAAACATTTCCTCTCCCTACTCTCTCCAGTCTTCACCTGGCTAACTTACTCATCATTCAGATTTCAGATGAAATGTCATTTGCACAAGAAGGCCTCGCTTGATTCCTTAGAGTCAGGTCAGAGGCCTAGCTAGCAGACCTCATAGCAAGCTTTGTTTTCCCCATCATAATTCATCACACTTTAAAATGGATTGATTTTCTGGCCTCCCAGGAAATCTATGAGCTCCACATGACAGAAGCTCTATATCTGTTTTGCTAATATTTGTATCTTCAACAATTTGCACAGTTTGTGTTTCAATTCTCTAATCTGTAAAATGGGAATAAGGAGATAAAACTACATGTAGAAATAATGTAGTTGGGGCATCTAACCTACCTCTTCTAACTTCACAAGAG